TTATGATATTAGCACTGCTCTAATAATAGACCTAAACCTAAAATTGTAGATCTATCATGATGTAACTGCCTAATCTATAAGATCTTACGTGGAAGTTACATCATCGTCTACACCGATTCATTGCATTGTAACAATTACCAATACGTGATAGAGAACGAGCTTAGGCTAGAGATAGAATATATTTAAGATGAATAGAAGACACAAGATAACATTCAGATGGGACCCCGCCCGCAAGGCCGAGCCATGCCATCCGATCAACTCGGACTGATTCAATTTATTATTCCCGCTTTCTCCATTCTTCTGTATTTCTCCGCGTTAAATGTTTAATGTCTATTTCTCATGTTGTCTCGTGGTAGGGCCTAATGCCACTACAAATCCATCAAACTTACTGGAATTATTAACCATCTATAATTGTGGATATTTAATACCAGATCAAGTTGGAACACGCACTCTCTTGGTGAACTAAGTAACGTTCCTTATTTCTATTGTGTCTATAACATTTGGCCTATATATATAAATACTATTACTTGTTATTAATAACTCTGTTATTATCTTTTGGGTTATTATATTGTCCGGTCCATCACACATTCTAAATAAAAAAATAGTAATGGCTTTAGTTGAAAATGTTGAAAAGGTAAATAAACAAATCATATGTTTCTAAGAAAGGGATTTATGCAGTTGTGACTTACCTCGAGTTCACGAATATTAGATCACGCAAGCTACTACAACTTGTGCAATGCATAGCATAGGCTTAGTGCCCCCACTTAAGTATTCCCAGGCATCTGCGTCTGGTTTTACAGGAAGATACACAAGTAGATTTCGTGTCTGATAAACTAAAAGTCCCAGTTGTCAAAGAGATTTTTAACATTTGTACACAGGCAGCAGCATTTAATTAACTCAGAAAAATCTTCTAGGACTGCTGTTTTGCAGGCAATTAAAAGCTCAGATACTTAGCTATCCTGCTACCGATGTTATTGCTAAGTAAATTGTTTCATGACAGTGATCTTGGAATATGGTCAGCGCTATATGTACAGTCTACGAATAAACACCAAACATACTCATCGCTATCTTATAATGTATGACAGCAACAGCATCAGAAACACTTTTTTACTATTTTTAACCAGACTGATTTTAATCAGTATACTCATTAAAAACAGGCAGCTTTACTTACTCAACTGATCTGTTTCGTTACAGGTCAGAATAAGTTATTATTATATTGAACCAAAAGATAAAAACGGATGAGGGAATTTTTCTTTGTGATTCATCTAATGGTAGGGATTTTCCAAGTCTCCACAAATGTAATCGCACAACGTTTTCAACACATGGTATCAACGTTCGTATCCGGGTGTTTAAGCAACCGTCAAGCTGATCACAGAACTATTTTGCCGGGCCGATTTAAGTGAAGACTTGAGGGATATTCAACTTGATTTGGAGGGACCTCTTCTAGATTCAAGTCGACACTCCTAGTAAGACCCCTTCTGAACGTATTATTCATCGGAATCCCTCTACATTCTGGCTGTTGTGATTGACTCTCCTTGATTCATTCAGATGTACACTTTGTTGATATTTTGATTTCATTCAAGATGGTACTATTTGTATTTCATTTTGGTTTTGTTCTACCTACGTCTTCACTGAACGGTTATGTTTTGCCTGAACTACATCTTTGTCATTTTGTTTTATATTTACTGATTGCTGCTATCATACTGATTCTCTCCCCCATCTTGATTGTGCTGTTTGCACTGACTGGAACTGAACATTTTTGATCGTGAATTCGGGCACTCTCACAGAAACGAAAGCACTCGATGTTATAGCAAAACGAAATATTATCTTTTGAAAAACTTTCACGTGATCTGCCCACAGAAAATAGATTTATATTTACTTGCTGCACATGATAATTCTCTTATATCCTTTATCACCTCATCCATTTAATGTGATTCAGATTTGACTACTGACTGAACATTTGTTCGTCAAAGTACCATCTTGATATCAGTACTACTTTTGGTTTATGTTAACAATTTCGATCCAAAGATATTTGTTTATTAAGTGTTGATTTTAATAATAGGCCCCGGTATTTAAATTTAAAATGTCTGCTTGGAATGCAATAATATAAAACTGATAAGCTTGGTCAAAAATTTTTTAAAGTTCGGACGACTTGCGGAGCTACAGTTAGGAATATGACGATTTGCACCGTAGACATTCATACGAAGTTGATGTAGTTAGCGTGTTGACATTTATAAACATATAACAAAGGTAATTTCAACTAGGAAATGCCAAATAAGTTTTTGAAACTAATAACTAATGACCTATTATTAGTATCGATTGACCTAGTGAGCTATGAGTACTGATTAACATTACAATACGATAATACACGTGAGCATTATTCAGAAGACTAATTAAATAATCGGTTAACATAGGTAGAAGTCGATCGAGAAAGTTAGAGTGGAAACAAGGATTAATAGGCTTCATTTATATAATCAAGCTTACCAATATAATATTTCGGTTTGTTTTCTTATAAGTACTGCTCTGATAATAGGCCTAATCCTAAAATTGTAGATTTCTCATTATGTAATTGCCCAATCTATAAGATCATACGTGGAAGTCAGATCAATGTCTATACGGACTCATTGTATCGTAACGACCCGCGTTATAACGGTTGACGATTGTAAACAACACGCTACGGTAAAGATAGAATAGCATATTGAATACGAGTTAATACAACTCTATCCAACTTGCTTTGAAGATAAGCAATCAACTGGAGAAACACTTTCTCGCCATACATTAACTTTGAAATCAAGGTTTTTGAACCTTCTCTAACAGCTCTATTATTTTTGGGCAAGGATTGGTCGTTTTCATGTATTATTCGAGTTTTGGACGAACCTGCACTGTATACCAAATCTTAGCGTTGATAATGTTCTACCTAAAACCTTTAGCGGTTGTCATGAGAAATTCACTGGTGGTTTGTACGCATTGATTCACAACAACTTCTAAGATTTTGTGTTTCTAGACAATAAATGGCTCGATATTATTCACTGTGTATGTATCTGCACCTTTTGGACTAATATACACCATAATATACTTAGAGACACGCAATGACAGCGGCCAAATTTCGGACCATGTTGAGCAATTTATCGGTCATTTTGAATCTGTAAGCGATTACCTCCATCTTCAATGCTCTCCGAATCTTGATTTCGTCAACATACAACAAAACCGGTGGTGATAGGGGACTGAGAAATTCATTTACGTACAGAAGGTGTAGAAGTGGTTCAAAAAACGTACCCTGAGGTACTTCGCTAAGCACAGCTTCGCAGCTAGTCAACTTGGAGTAAACTAGACTAGGTAGTTGTCTATCTACACAAGTAAAGGCATATTTAACTCCGTTCACAAATAGCATATGACTTCTACAGACAGACGTTGACGATTGCAGAAAGAGCGTTTTGTGACGACTCGTGAAGTGGTATGGTGGTTATATTTGACTTACAGTTTTCAGTTGGTGTGTATATAGAGCATTGAGGTTGGTACCAATGTCGATTACTTATGAGAGCAATTATTTTAGGTGATTATTTACCACTAAACACTAGTAAGCATACTGATATGCAACGAAAAATTAGGTCAGATAATGTAATACACTCAAAACATCATGATATTAACGTACATAGAAAACAAAAATGGAAATACACATATCTAGGGGCACTAGCTATCCTAAGGCCCTGGAAATGTTACAACGCCTACAAGACAAGTCTCCTTATTTCATACAATGAAAGCTGATGTGGTCACTCGTTCTCCGGTGCTCTTTTGACACTCACTCGTGATCTGGTGCGGATGCATGACCGAGCGCCTCAACTAGGTGAGTCCATAAAAAAGCTAACGCGGTCAGCATCAAATGTCGAAGACTTACAGAACTATTTATTTTGGGATTTATTTATTTCTACAGATCAATAGAAACGTGAAGCTCAAGTATGGATAGAAGTTATATACAGTAAGTCTATTACCCTTATAATCGGGAAGGATGTTTGAGTATCTTAAAAACATTAAACTAGTTAAATATGTTTTACCAACATTCACGAGGTCACTTTTCTCCATTTTCGAGAGCGAGATTGAGAATTCACAAAATTAGGACTAGATGTTTGTTATCTGACTGTCGAATTTCTAGTGGAATTATCAACGAGTGAATCACTGTCTGATATGGCTCCTCCGACAGATGTACTCGAAGGGAAATTAGCTTATCTGAGAACCGTCAATCTTTAAGATCTACACAAGCATCAAACCTTAGTCTCCAACACACTAAAAGGGATTAGGGCTGAGTCGAAGCAATTACCATTAAACACCGTGCATTCGTAAACTATTATTCTAAGGGATTTTTATGCAGAACTAATGAAGCGTTTAGTTTAACGAGTACACCTGAATACAAATGTGATTTGGTAGATGATTATGATTGCAGTTCACACGATGTCAGGTTTCAGCTGCACTAGCATCAGCAAGACACTACTTCACATGAAAATATCAGGAGTCTGACACATGTACGCATGTCCAACGATAACCATTTGGTTTTCCATCCTTACAATCAGAAACCAAACAAATTGGAATAAGCAATTTTCATAAGGCGCGGTGACAGAAGAAGTAGTTACTTAAACAAATATTAAGTTTTAATTATCCCGTAGTTATAAAAAATTATGTACTACTTAATTTCATACAATTAAGTCATACTGTTTGTTATTATGATGGGGTGTAAGTAACCAGTGTATTGACCTACATATTTCCGAAATCAGCTGCGTTAACGTCACAACGACGTCTTGATCACAGTCAAACTGCACATTGTGGACTTTAGTACCGTTAACGTCTTCGCGAAAAAGTGCTAATATTTTGAACAAAACCAATCTTTGGGTAAGGAAAAGTACTCAAGCTAGGAGTTCGACTGGAATATATGCAGACAGGACCATAGTTTCACTTCACAAACACAGCTGATTTCACTGATCTGAATTTTCACAATCAAAGATTGAAGGATGTCGTCTCCTAGTCCTGGAAAGAAAAGAATGGATACAGATGTTGTCAAATTGTATGTTATTATCAGATAATTAGTTAAATTCACTTTTAGGATCGAGAGTAAGTACGAAGTTACAATACTAGGTGGTTTAAACGAGCTTATGGTAAAATTCTTTGGACCTCCAGAAAGTTGTTTATTTTATGCCTAACTTTTACTGCTTAGCTCCATACGAGGGTGGAATTTGGAAGGTTCGTGTTGATCTTCCTGAACGATATCCTTTCAAATCTCCCTCAATTGGTAAGTAATAATAAATGTTTATTCGGATTTACAGGATTCATGAACAAAATATTTCACCCGAATATTGATGAAGCGTAAGTTGTATTACTAGAAAGTTGTATTGTCCATCAGATCTGGTACAGTTTGTCTTGATGTCATAAACCAACAATGGTCTGCTCTTTATGGTAATTTAGATCATGTTCTGTATTTTAGACTTAACCAATATTTTTGAGTCTTTCTTGCCGCAGCTTTTAGCATATCCAAATCCTACAGATCCACTTAATAGCGACGCTGCTTCTTTGTTTATGTTCAAACCCTCTGAGTATGTCACGAAAGTTAAAGGTAAGTTGTTCTGCTCCATGCTTAAAACTCGGTTGTTATTCATGTCTTCTTATTTTGATACAATGTTTGGCCAAGCGCATTGTTTTGGATACGGTAAAACGTCTCGAAATAGTCCAGGAACATTAAAATCTGTGTCTAGGTCAAATGGGTTTATTAACTTTAGTATTTTCAGTGAAGTATTAACCTTTCACATAATTCATCATCCTTCTATTTTGAAGTTACTTATGGGTTAATTGCATGCACTTCGTTTCCCTAAGAGTAGACAGCTCGACTTCCAGTATATATATATATATATACATATATATATATGTATATATATATATATATATATATATATATATATATATATATATATATATATATATATATATATATATATATATATATATATATATATGGTATATGCTGTGTACATTTGTTTGTCGCAAATTACATCTGTCCTCGTTCTCATTTTAGTTCCATTTTCTCCGTACGTGGCCAACACGAATCAAGTCATTGTCTGCCTGCCTCTGGGATAATAACCATCTTATGTCTGGGTTTCTCGCAGTCATACCAGTTGCGTCCAGTCTCGTTCATATCTACGTGATGGTTCATTATTGTTCGTTTAAAAGCTCGTGAACCAGTAGTAAAAAATAATAAACGTTCGGCTAAGTCATTTTCTAGGCTAACTTTATATCCTAGATATACAAACAAAATCCTATTTACGGTTTAGGAAAACGAGTACGTTAGATTAAATTGTTGTCACCTGACTATTAAGGTAAATAAGTAAATGTGACTTCAGTTGTAGGGTGTTCATCCTTTCATACCCTGGAAACTAGTTAAAAAAGACACCTAGAATCGTTAATTGTCAGGGTGGAAATACCATATTTTCATTTACTTAATGTGAATATTGTGTTACCATCTCAATAAAATTCAATTAAAATGTGTTTGTCTCAATATGTTTTGTTTTCTAACAGTAGACTCGATTGTCTTTCAGTAAAACAGTACGTGCTCCCAACATTGGAACTAGGGATTTTCTGTATGATATAGCCTAAAATAATTGACATTGCTATCTGTAATGTTCAAAAACTTCAGTTATATTTGTATATTTACCGTGTTAGTTTCAAAAACTCAGTATGGTATCGGTAAAATGAATTAAAGCACTCACGGAAATTTTCAACTTGTTCGGGTATATAGTGAAGTTTTTTTCAGTCTATTCTCCGTAGTTGCCACAGACAACCTTTGCAAATTAAGCTCCAATAACTTTCCAAACGGCTACACCAGTTAACACTACTTTTCAGAAATCCTTTTGCAAACAGGATAATACCATTAATCGAAGATATCTATAGTACTCAGAGTCTTAAAAACGTTTAAAGCAAAATTTCAAAATTAGTGATTAAAGTAATACTGCTAACTTATGGTTCAGAGGAAATATTCTACTGTATATGTAAGAAGTAGCAATAATTCTTTGTCTAATACTTTGCATCTGTGAGGACGGTTAGGAGCAAAGGGCAGACATACATCGTAGTGCCTGGAAGAAATACACATAAGCTCGAATTCCATATATTTTATTCCAGGAAGGTGAAAAGAAAAATATTAAGAAACTGAATAAATATTGTCAATAAATTATTGAACGACTCCCCACTAACGGTTTTTACGTGTTTTTGCTCTTTCATGTGGTTCATAAGGTCTTTATTGTACATAAGCTTTTTCTTGCACAATCAATGCACCTTAAAGACGGTATGTGAGAGATTTCTCTCGGAATCAGGATTTATCATGTCTAATCACGTAATTTTGTTTCCTTGCATCTTAAAACCATCTCCCATAGTTTTATGTGAACTATGATTCGTCTACCAAGTTCTAAGTCTCTTGCTATCTGTTTTAAATTCCAATTAACAGGCTTTGATTTCAATATCTCACTCATTATGAATGAGTTGCCGAAACAAAATTGAGGAAAGATTAGTGTATTGCATAAATATACCACTTAATTTAGTGATACCCATTTAACAAATGGTTTCACGAGATGTTAGCTTCATCACCTTAAAAATTCTTCCCTGTTTGAAGCACTTACAAGATATATGTTTTTTCATCTTTGAGAAGTCACACACGTAAATTTACTTTCATAAATAATTCTAAGGCTAAGAAAAAAGAAAGTGAGTACTATTATTTTGTGGCAATTAGCTGTATCAGTTCTAGAGGCAACTCGTTAACGTATTATATTTATTTATTTATTTGAACACAAAAATATTGGTACAAGGACGCACCAAATTTATATGAACCTCACAAGTCACTTGATTTGTGTGTGGGCTGTGGTACTACCTTGGTGCATAAATCGAAGCAGGTGGTTTACTTAAGGGGCCACACCCGTAGCCTTCGATCAAAAGGTCTGATTTACAAGGCATTGGAGCAACGTCAGGAAATGCAGTCCCATGGTAGCTGGTAACCGACGATTGGTTCATATGCCGTTCGTTTCTGCAGGGTACTGAAGCCAATGTGCACCATCGGTTCGGAATCAGGGTGGACTCTGTGTACACAAACCCGGCTAAAGCACAGAACATTCGTTTTTCGTGCTCTCAATTTTGTACACAATACCCCCGCCACGCGAAGGCAGTGATTAGGACTATCCTGGCAGTGGTTGTATACTCATGGCCATGTGAGAGTATTTAGGGGCAACTCTTTAACGGTGTGAATTTTAACCTTACTGAATTTTAAAGTAACATCCTTAGTCACAGATATGCTCTAATTGAAGTACTTATACCCATGTGTATATTGAGATGTTGAGACTTCTAAGTCTGATCACATCATCTTTTATGACGACTGCAGGCTGTTAGGTTCGATTAGTTTAGTTTTTCCTAAAACAAGTCAAATATTATCTAGTAATCCATTATTCCAATTAGTTTGTAGTTGCTAAGATAGAATTGTCTTTTTTTGTATACTGATCAATCAGCCTGACCAACTTGAGGACATCAACTTATACATTAGTACTCCATAATCTGAGCAAGTTCGACTGTCAATATTGAGGCATTATATTTATTACGGCTGAAGATAATTCTAGCATAATTTATTGCTTTTTCAGATGATAGATACTTTGCGACCTTACCTTCCTCTTTGCGTTTATTCAAGTGTTATAAGTCTCCACTTTTCTAGGTGACATTATATTCTGATCCTCAACAAATTCATCCGACCTTGTCGTTTTTTGACAAAAAATAACTAAAACGAAGTAATAATGACAATATTTGCAGAATACAATCAATTCATTCTATATCACTGCTCTGCAGCCACATAAAAACTAGTGTGTTTAATTATTTTCAGTTATCAACATAATATTAGAAATAAACTGTCAATCATTAACAAATAAGTTGTATGTAATGTGAAAGAAATTATGAATCAAGGTTGTTAAAAGGATGTTCTTTTTGTAATTACTTAAGGCAATAGTTCTAGTGTTAAGATAATTTCATTACGCAATAAGACAAGATTTTGAAAGTTCAGGAGGTCAAAAAGGATATGTAAGTTCAACTCACTAAATTAGGATTACAATCAATCGTATTCTACAAATATTTCCATCCTTGCTTTGTTTATATTTGTGAAGCAAATCAATTGCCTAAAAAGCTTTATTCATTCAATGTCTTGAATTTCTTCCTAAATTCAACCTTTGCAACCACTGATGTATTATTATTTCATCCGTGTATGTCAACTTAGCAGTCAAAATTAATCATTAAAATATACTTTGGATAAGTTTGTCGTGCTGTAAAGAATTTCTAATCAATGTTAGTATTTATTGACAAAATAAGTAACAAGCATACCGAGTCCTGAAATACTTCCCACTTTGCAAAGTACCACTACATAATGAATCAGTTTATCACTTGACTCTCGTTCTAAGGTAATTTCGTTTGATGACAATAAATTTCACCGTAACGAAGAGATTCCGACATTTAAATATTTTATGGCAAATAGGTTGGTCTGTAGACAGTCATTATCATGGCTTTAATTTTAAATAAAACCAGAGTTCAAAAATAATTTAGCATAAGCTTTCCAGTAAATGCTTCAGACTAATAAGTTAATACGTAGATCTTTTGTCAATACATCCACTACTCATATGTTATTTATTTCAAGTACATAAATTCTGGTACAATAGAGGACCAGAAAATACGCAACACAAGTCAAAGACAGTACAATCAATAAAGAAATGAACTGAAATAAAATTTAACAAGCAGTGTGGTTAAGCGAAAGATATAACTTGGAAAACGTTTCACCTAGAGAGGGCCATCTCTGTTACGAAAAGCGTAATTAGAAAAACAATGTCATAGACTGTTCACCACTTTGCTTTCCCCACCCAGTCTCTGCGCTGGAAATAATCCGCGATATGGAAGTGACTGGAATGTGTCTTAAAACATCGCCAAGCCGTCGAGGTCGGTGTTTCAAGTTGGCGAACTCTTGGTTGTACAGCTAGGAATTATCAATAAAACCCTGCGTGAAAAGCTTGCCTTCAAATTGTGTCATTGAACCTGCACTTAGTTAAAGAAGTAACGTTATTTGTTATTGTATAAAGGTACGGCATGATCATAACAGTGGAAGTTTTATGAAAATATTTGATTGGTGTTCGACAATGTTACTGGTAGCTATTTTCTAATAATTACCGATAAGTTATCGATCATGATGTACATTGATTGACCTAGTTTCATTTGTACTTTTAGTTTCATTTCATTCTTTTCGTTAAAGTCAATGTTTTGAAGGTTATTAATCGAAAAAAGGCTTAAATATGGAAACTTTTAACCAGATTCTATTGAGTGCATGGGAAGGATGCATATTTAAATGAACAATCCAAAATAGCGTTTAGTCTGTATCTAATATGTATATTTTTCAAATTTCTCTTAATTATAAGTCATATAAACAGGGTGACTAATATCCTTTTGTTTCCATTTGTCATCATTTTGCGTACTAGTTTATATTTATTTGTTTATTGTTTTGAATATACAAACTAAATATTACCTGATAAAGTTGCGATACGTCAAAGCAACCTAACCGACAAAGGTTGGCAAGGAGGAAAAAATAATGATATTACTGATACCTTTAATGCCAATAAAAACTGAGAAAATCAGTGAAATAAAATAAAAGGTAATTAGATGCAAAGTAATCGGTGATTGACTTTTAAAGATATTAGTTTCAAATCAATAATCACTAGCAAATCGTCAATTTCAATTGTCCCACAGACTCGTAAAAAAGATTTACTACTGACTTCTATAATTTTATTTTCAGGTTCTGCCTACTTATCACATTTGACCGGAATATCACGTCAACATAGACATTTAAATCCTTCTGAGCCAATGTTGTCCAGGCTTCACAGTCTTATCAAATGATATTTTCGATTTGAGACTCCTTCAATTGAACAAAACTGGTTTAGTAGACTTTTTCATAGATTATGTTTACTGTACTGTCTCGAGATTAAACAGGTTTGAGAAAATCAAAACACATGAAATGTTCGATACAGTTAAAATTGAACAATTTAAGATCCAGTTGTAATTCTTTACCGTTTGTTTAAACAATCATATTTCATTGAAATCATGAACCAATTTACGTTAAGTACCATCGAGAACCTTAAAGCAATGGACGGTCATTTCGTTCTAAAATGGGACGACCCCGCACAGGTGAGTTGAACCTAGGACTTTCGGTCTCTCATGCAAATGCTCGACCTCGTGGATGCTCACTTCCAGGGAGTCCCATACTAAGACAAAAAGGCTGTCCAGTCCTCCCAGGTTTTCAGCTGTATCCTAATTTATGCCAGTTCATGATTCCCAATGAAACTCAAATCTCTACGACTGCATACTGACTATCACATTTACTGGTGTACTTTACTCATGGATTCGCTAGTTTTCATGCATCCATATAAAATCTGTAACATGTATCGTACATTTTCTCAATGGATTTTATTTTTCATTTCGGATTCGAGACCACAACTTTTATATGATAAATCGACCTTCAATTTTCAGTGTTTCTTCTTGGTACTCATATATGGTACATTTCATATTTTAAATGATCTCATCTGCATTTGTTTGCGTTCAGTATTTCTCATTCATAAATTTGAATAAAGTAACGAGTCCCAATGTTAATAATGAATACCATTACTTCTATGTTGTAAGAAGTTGCAAAGAATCAAACAATAAATAAATACATTAGTTTCATTTACACATTAGTGTTCTGTTTTTCCTATTTTCTTTTTCACATTTTAAAATAGAGTATGTCCAACGTTTCGCAAGTGAGGAAGCTTTAAAAGCTGAAGAGAATAGAGAAGCTGAGTCTAGTTCCTCAGATGGTGAAAGCTCTATGTCAGACTACACGGATGATATGGCTAGAGATATGGAGCTATGATACTATCTTTTGTAGGAGTGGAAATGCACTCAGATTGGTCTATGCTCGCTACCGCTCTGCTTTCATGCCACAAAATATAATTTCAAAAGTAAAACGATTATCATTAATATTATTATTATTGTAACTGCTATCACTTATTATTGTATTGGTTGTTTAAAAGATGACACTGTATCCTCTATTGGTTCCTCTTCGGACTTCACTTAACCTTTGTTATTGATATTATTATTATTACTTTCCTTGTCAATCTTTGTGTGGTTAGTGTTCAATGTTTCTTGATAACTGATTGATTGGTCACTAAACTGGTAAACGACAACTTCATGGTCTCTTATATTCTACGCTGTCGTATATATATATATATATATATATATATATATATATATATATATATATATATATATATATATATGGCATTGTTTTTGTACACAAGTTTTCACTTTTCACGGGTTGAAACAGTATTTTTTGACCCTTTCATTTCTTTTTACCTTCTTTTTTTAATAAGAAATTTCTTAAAATAATAAAGAACCTCATTTATTCGTCTACATTACACAAAACTATTTTTGCAATCAAACTAATAAAAAACAAAATTATTGTTATTATCCATACGCATGTTGCGATTCTTATGTAATAGTACAATTTCCGTATTTAGACAATCACATGTTATGGTTTACTATATTTTTAATTAACAGTACTGAGGATAAGAAGTTTGTGTCTGTTAGAGTGGGGTAGATTGAATGTTTTCTTTCTCCCCTTTTTCTCCTAATGAATAAAAGACATTAATCGTTTTCACTATTCCAATTCTTAAACATTGATACATTAGTGGAATTGTGTTTAAGCGGCATTTTTACATGTGTACGCGTGCTCCCTTCCATATAAGTCACTTTTTCATTTCCATTCTTTATGATTTAATCGAGTTCCAGTAAATATGATATACATATACATTTGTGTTGTCTAGTTTAGTATTCCAGTGCTCTTTCTGGTCGTTTAGTCTCTGTGTAGTTTATGAACATAGGATTTGATCTTCTATGTGTACAAGAATAAGTCGTGTGTACGTATGTAGAGCGCTTTATTATCTTTGACACTAATTACACCACAGAAATGAATCTGATTTCTCTTCTGGCAGTTCGCCTTTCCTTTTTTTATTATAAAATTATTCTTTAAAGATAAAATCTATCCATTGGTTATATTCTAAGTGAATTTCATCACAGGTTATAATAAAATTAGATTTATACCTGTCGTATTTTTCTTTCTCAATTGCTCACATACTAAGTACTTCTTAATTTTAATTTTTTGTGTGAATAGAGAAAGAGAAATACATTAAAAAAATCTTATTTCGTATTGAAGTCTTGTGAATGATATCTTCTCCAGTATTTTTAAGAACAAAAAAACTTAAATTACCAGTTACGTGTTCTCACTTTTCATAAGTGTTCAATTTACATTATTTCAGTTACTTTAGAAACTACTTAAGTTTTCATTTTTTAAAATAACTATTTAACCTTTTATTACATAAGAGCAAATTATTTACAGTAAATACAATAACATGTAAGGGGAAAATAGAATATATTTCAAGTTGTGTTAAAAAGTTTTGACCATCCTCTGAGGATATATTATTTCGTTTGTGTGGGATTTGATGGATTAATCGTTGATGCTCCCTTATATATCTGTGTGTGTGATATGGTAATAATATCTATTTATTTACAGCGACCATACTTGTACTTGTTTCTTATTTTTTCGATAATCTGACATTTACACACACGTACAAAAATATAACATTGTGCACACATCTATATTACTACTATTATTTTGTACAGATATTGCCAATTATATCATTAATGGTAGCCAATAATTTGTAGTTTGAAACAGCTCATTTTGCATATTTGGACATGTTACAAATTTGTTGAATATAAAAATATATTGTTCAAGCAAATATCTTAATGAGCAATTAAATTGTATCACTGTTCTCTTACTCTTTTCCTTTTTACGCATCCTATATTGGATGATGATTATATTTGGTTAACAGGAAGAAAGGCAACATTTATTTCTTTCATTATTAAAACTAATGATATTCATTATTACTATTGTTTAATTCTTATTATAATAATAATAACTAATTGCTCTAGGTCCATGTATTCCACATATTAAATTACTAAATCTCATCAAGGCTTATAGAAAAAACAATTACAGATAAAAAATAGATCAGATTTTCAGTTAAATGGAGGATAGTTTGATCAGTAGACGAAGAAAAATAATGGACTTGGAATATTAAATTATTTAATTTTCAACTATATAACCCTGAGTTCATCGCCTCGTCCCAACTTTGGTTTAGGAAGCTGGATGCTATCACTGAGTATTACATGAAAAACGTCTGGCTTAATATTGAATAAATGAATCTGTATTTGACAAGTGGGTTACATTGTTATTAATTATCAACTACACTAAATAATGTGTCACAAAATAAACCAAGTAACCAGCAAGTGTTAAGTTTTCTTGGGTTTGCATCTTATGAATTAATTCAGTTCTTAACAGAATTTTTAATTTATTGTAAATCCCAGGTTCAAATCATTCATATTGCAATGGTTGTATATTTGAGAAAATATTGAACATTGAAATAAAAATACAAAGTCTACCGGGTTTTATATTTATGATTAAATGGGAGTCGAGTCAAGTGATTGAGATTTCGGAAATCGACAAAATACTAATATTCCTAAGCTATTATGGAAATCCGGTGAAATGGTTTGAAGACCAACGAATAAATAGTAAAGGTTTTATTTTGATTATATAAACAAATTATATTCAATTTTACACGTGTAGAGTGACGTAATCGATTATTTACATAGATCACTTCTGAGTACTTTGTATTTTGAATCGATTGGAGAACAGTTGACCTGATTGTAACGGGTGGTTTTCCTTAAGGATATTGATTTAAAGGTGTATTGTGTAACTCGCTACTGTATATTTTCTTCAGTGTCACATATCTTTGTCCAAACTTATGGTACGATCAACTCGAGATGCGTGAACAAACACGACTCTGTCAATTAAAGACATTAATATGGTGTGCAGCTTACTGAATGCTTGGAGCATATCATTAAGTGGTTATACTGGCTTTACTCTAGCATCCAGTAATATTTATATGCTTTTATAGAAAACATCAAATTACTCAAGGGAGTTTATGGATTAATGACAACAACGAAATATATCTCATAACTAAACATAATAAGTATAAACGACAGATTGACAGAGTTATAGTGTTATAATAATAATGGCTTTAATTGGTGTTTTATAGTAGTAAGTTTGAAAAAAACGTGGATAAAGAAGCATTGAAATCATGTATCAAGCAGTGTTCGAAACATTATACACTGAAGAATGTGTACGAAAAAATGGTAAAGAAAAACGAACAAAGTATGTAGTAAATAATAAGTAAAATCGTTTGTCAAGCTTTATTCAGCCAATGAGGAGACAAGGGTATTACATATTTCTTAGGAATAAAAAATCCTATGTTAACTAGAACCACCATTAGCTTATGTTACGTGTAGGAGACGAGATCGCATCCTACACAAAAGAGGGTGCATGGTAAATAACTCTGGATGATTTGTTTCTCATACATGGTCGCAATCAGCCAAGTGTAATAAGAGAGTTGCATGCTGTTTTGTCACACCTTTTCCCATTCACGAATGCAGGTGCTTGAGTTGTATGGTTGTACCACTGATTTGGCTTCCGCACCGGGGTCGTACCCAGTTGTATCAACGGGAAAAATCATGTTAGTGCTACTGCGACTAATTTTAAACCCACTCACATAAAATCAATCACTTGTTACGTTAGTCTCAGAAACTACAAAATGTCCTACAGAAGTATTGTTTTGACAAGCACCTTATAATTGTAAACGTTGTGTCTAATGTTCTCAGAGTAACACTGGCGAAAAATCGATTACATTGGTTCAAATATATCCTCTCCTTATGTAATCTTGTACACGGAATATTCAAGGTAGTGGTTGTGTCATTATTAACGATTTAGGGTAACAATAAATGTCAACATAGACGTATGATGTAATCTCACTAATTATTTAAATACTTTCAAATTTCGGTCATATTAATATTCGTTTATGCACACGGTTAATTTTAATGAATGAACTGAGAGCCGATTTAGCATTAAGGGAATGGAACTTTATCAACTGAAGTACTCAACCCTTTAACTAAATTAATCTTCATTGTTCAGTTTGTTTAAATGATTCGAATAATTGGGTGAATAAAACTCATATTGGACTCAATTCAGACTATATAGATCGTAACTATTAGCAAACAACGTTTGGAGATTTGAAGTGAAATAGCAGGATGCTAAATTTGTCCTGAGCTTTGTGATAATTAATGGTTATTAATCAGAACAGTTTACAAAAATGGAAAAACACTGTCTCGGACATTCGAGTGAGTATTCTTCATAAACACCGTTGTAAAGATTATTCTTAATTTGTCTATAACTTTTATGTATAGTAAAGATGAGTACTTGAATTGATTACTGTAAGGTAAATTATGAGGTTTACCAACAGAATAGAATTTAGGGTTTAAACTAATCAACACAGAATAACAATTATTTATTGTAAAATTCATCTTTTCAAAAATAGTTTAGAACACAACCCAGTCATAGTAAACTAATGATTATATACTATCATTCTTTTAGAATTGTAAATAAAGTTCGTATGTCTAAAAATGTTATATTTCACTACAAAAACTGGAATTTCATATTTACCATTAAGGAGCTGAAAAAAGAGGAAGGCATTTTGGCTTCGATGTTACACTCATGATGAAAATTACGATATTTATTAATCATGAATTTTAAACTTATATTTGCTATTTCTTCAATACTAGCAAAAGAATATTTTGCGAATCATTTGTATTAATCCGCCTATTTACCAAATACTCTAGGCGAAACAAACCACGAATAACTATATTTGTAGAGTAAGATGAATTTGTTGTATTTAGTGGTACTTTCTGCCGACAGACAAACATTTA